CTACTCACCAAGGTAGAATGTAGAACATTGTCTTTATAAACTGTGTTATGCCAGTGGAGCTAGATGTTCCCCGAGACCATGGTCCCCACAGCCCTTCGCGCAGCAGTTCAATCCCTCAGGGAGTTTAGATGTGTCTATGGAGCTTCCATGACCTTTCCTTGTACAACTTGTGCTGGCTTCCCCAGTACTGTGTACTGTCTTACCCTTCACCAAAGTTACCACTTACCTATTGAATTTAGATACTCTTAAGTAAACTTCTGTAGTGGAAAATATATTAACTAATTTTAGAAATATTAACTAATAATGCATATTATAACTAAAAGGGTTTCTGTTTAATCTGCAGCTAGTTTGAAAAATCAATTATTGTATCAATGTCAATATCCTGGTTGTGATATTATACTATAGTTTTGCAAGATGTTATCATCTTGTGTTGATGGCATATGGTATCTCTCTATTACTTCTTACAACTGCATATGGATGTCCCCTCAAAACAAAAAGTTTAATTATAAAAAGTCAATTAAGTAGAGGTATCTCCCACTTCAGCCCCTTCAGCTCCCCATTTATCTTTCTTGGTACTAGACAATTTTATTCAATTTATATTTTTCAGATTTTTTCCTATAACTTTATACTTGTTATTATTAATGACAAATGGTAGAGTGTGGTATAAGTATTTTTTCCTTTTTACATATGCTATTTAGCAGTTAATAATGCAATCTTAAATTCTTTTACAGAATTTAAAATTTGGTTGTATGTTTTGCCCATATCACCTGCTAAAAGCTTATAATTTGTGGTCCAGGAAAGCACCTGGAGAATGCAAGACCTTGCCCATCTCTGAAAGTATGATGTAATATTTACTTGATCAATAACCCAAGGTTCTTAGAGTACTAGATGCCAGTATCCCTTTTGTCTTAATGCTTCTTAAGCTTGGAGCTGTGGCCTTTTGTTAGGGCCTGGGTCAAGAAACAGCTGTAAATGTAAATGTAAAATCTTTTGTGTTTCCCTGAATCCTTGGAGAATTTCTTTTCTTGTGCTTTTGCTAACACATAAAACAAACTGGAATGTACCTAAAGGAAAATAAATTTTTTTTTTCCTTGTGAAAAGCCATGTTTCTTCCTGGTGAATCTCTGGTTGTTTTCATCCAGGTTACCATCATCATTAAAATGATTTCTCGATACTCATGAGGCAGCCTGGTGGTCAGGGAGTCAGGGAATGTGGGTTCTAGTCCTACTTCTGCTGTCTCTAGTTGATGGCTATGGCAGATCTCCTAGAAACTCAGGCTCTTCAACTGTACAGTAAAGGAGTTGAGTAAACTCATGGTCTCCAAACTCCTTTGGGGGAAGAGCATCTGAAAGACATGGTGCTTTTTCTTTCTTTCTTTTCAAATGTTTTGTTATGAAAAATTTAAATAACAGAAAGTATAGGGAATAGAATAGTCAACTCCTCTGGTGGCACAGTGGTTAAGTGCTATGGCTGTTAAATGAGGGGTCAGCAGTTCGAATCCACTAGCTGCTCCTTGGAAACCCTATGGGGAAGTTCTACTCTGTCCTATAGGGTTGCTATGAGTTGGAATCGACTAGATAGCAACAGATTTTTTTTTTTTTTTTGATGTGTCACATAAAATTTGCTTTGTCTACTTCTTTCTTTTTTTTTTTTTTACTGAAGATTTTACTTTCTTGATAAAGTCCTTTGATCACAGAAGTTTTTTTATCTTGATGAGGTACATTTTTGTCTGTTTTCCTCTTTTGTTGCTTGTACTTTTGGTGTTATAGCTAAGAATCTATTGCCAAAAACAAGGTCCTTAACCTTTATCCCTATATTTTCTTCTAAGAGTTTTATGATTTTAGTTCTTAACTTAGGCCAGGTGGTGTGATGTATGGATCCAACTTCATTCTTTTGCATGTGGAGATCCGGTTGTCCCAGCACCATTTATTGAAGAGACCATTCTTAATGGACTTGGCACCCTTATCTAAAATCAGCTGGTGATAGATGCATGGATTTATTTCTGGACTCTCAGTTCTCTTCCATTGGTTCATATATGTATCCTTAAATAAGACCCACACTGTTTTGATTACTGTAGCTTTATAGTATGTTTTGAGATTGGGAAGTATAAGTCCTTCTGCTTCGTTGTTTTTCAAAATCGTTTCAGCTGTATGGAGCCCCTTGCAATTCCATATGAATTTCAGAATTGGCTTTTCTGTTTCTGTAAAAAATGCCATTGGAATTTTGATAGGGATTTTGTTGAATCTATAGGTCGCCTTCGGTAGTATTGACATCTTAACAATATTGAGTCCATGAACAGACAGTGCCTTTCCATTTATTTAGGTCTTTAATTTCTTTTAGCAATGTTTTATTGTTTTCTATGTACAAGTCTTTCACCTCCCTGGTTAAATTTATTCCTAGGTATTTTATTATATGTTATTGTAAATGGAATTGTTTCCTTAATTTCCTTTTGAATATTTCATTGCTGGTGTGCAAAAACAGAACTGATTTTTGTGTGTTGATCTTGTACCCTACAGCTTTGCTAAATTCATTTATTTGCACTAGTGGCTTTCTTGTCTCATCACAGTTTTTAATGTCTCATTTTTTGTCTTGCAGTGATGAAACTAGAGAATCTGTTTGTAGATGACTCAGGCCGATATCTCGCAGTTCAATTCCATCTGGAATGTGCATATATATTTTTATGTTATTATGAGTATAAAAAGGCAAAAGATCAGTTTAATGTTGCTAAAAACATTGGCAAATTACAAATTAATTTAACAGGTAAGACTTTCTACCTTTTGTCAATAATTTATTTTTATGATAAACAATATATACATTGGCCATTTGGTTGTACTGCCTGGTAGAATTTGATTTTGTATATCCCATTCTTTGCTTTACAAAAATAGGTTTTAAATATTTTATTTAAAAATTCATAGTTTTAGGACAAATTTGCAATGATACATTTTCTTTGTTCCTGGAGATTCCCATTTATTGTTTTAATCTAGTTAGACATGTGTTAGTAATATACAGCAGCCAAGCAGCACACAAATGAACTTTTGAGCATTTGATTCTGGGTATGGACCTCCTGGAAACCCTATGTGGCAGTTCTGCTCTGTCCTGTAGGGTCGCTATGAGTTGGAATCGACTTGACGGCAATGGCTTTGGTTTTTGGTATGGACCTCCTAAGGCCTCGCCTCTCCTTATTACCAGTTTTAGTTTGGCCTCTCTGCAGTACCCTTTCTTATAAAGACCCATCTGTTGCTTCCATCTTGCTCTTTTTTTGTGTTCCGTTTTGTATTTCTTGAGGTTAGACATTTTTGATGGTTTTATTTACTTAATTTTTCCTTAGTGCCTTAGAACACTTCCTGGCATATTTGTTGTTGTTAGGTGCTGTTGAGTCGGTTCCGACTCATAGGACAGAGTAGAAGTGCCCTATAGGGTTTCCAGGGAGCGGCTGGTGGATTTGACCCGCCAACCTTTTGGTTAGCAGATATAACTCTTAACCACTGTGCCACCAGGCTCCTTCCTAGCATATAGCAGGCACTAAGTATTTTTTGAATGAACAAATAAATTACATAATTTCTCCTAAAACTTCTGTGTTTTGTCTGAATATCAAATAAGAAACATTGGTTTCTTTTTTTGTATTGCTCTATCCCTGGTGTCTCACGTGTAAATGGTATTCAGTGTTGAATAAATGAGTGAAAATCAGACATCACGAATTGATCACACCATTTGTACCTGTTGAACCTGGGCTCAGTGTTCTAGGCTGTGACTACGAGTTGGTGAATGTTGAAATGATGGGACCTGCTTGTCCTCCTGAGCTAGGACTAGGTTATCTCTAAAGCCTGAATTCTTAGGCCCTAAATTCCATGCTTCTTAGTGAGCTAGTCCTAACAGTAAAGTCCTTCAGATATATTATGAGTTATTGACTTTTGGGGCTCGTCTGGGATCTCAGACACCTTCTATTACACTGTTTGTGTGGGGAAAATTATTTAATATATAGTTTATAACTTTCGGAACAATGCCCATATGTAAGTTGTAGTTTTATCTGTATTTGGAAATATAGTTATATGTTATATAACTATCTATTTCAGAGCTCATATTTTTAGATTTCGGTCCTAGGAGACTTTTTGGGGCTACTTTTTATAATTAATGGAGTACTGTGTATATTCAGCTTTAACTCTTGGTGCCTTTATTAGCCAGTTCTTCATTTTTTTTTTGTTTATAAGTTAAGGATGAAGAATTTAAAAATACAAATGCGGTACCCACAAATGTAAAATGAAAATCAGATTATTATTTTTCTCCATTCAACTGTAGCCTCACTGTAAAAAAGTTAGCTATATTAAACTATCTTAGTAGCTATTTTTAGCATAACGTGTTTAAAAGGGTTGATGCGTAACTTAGAGCTAGCCTCATAATGGGATAAAATCCTGACTCCTTAGATTGATGTTCAAGGGTCTTTGTAATCTGGCCCTTGCCAGAGAATGGATGTTGGAACTTGTGCTTCTATAAAGTGGTTTGAAATCAGCTATTCTGCAGCAAGATATTTCAGATACATAATGAAAAAAATGTTTATGTTACATGAAACTTGATAGTGTAATAAAAAGACTAAGGGATTTAGAACCTGAAGACCTTGGCTTTAAGCTCTGGCTCTGCTACTGAGGAGCCTTGTGATCTTGAGTAAGTGGCTGTATCTCAGAACCTCCCTTTTGTTCATCTAATGTACGGAGTGATAATATTTGTTCTACCTGTGACTCTTAATGAGTTATTCTTATTTGAGGAGGGATGTAGTTTGATGTGGAAACCCTGGTGGCGTAGTGGTTAAGAGCTACATCTGCTAACCAAAAGGTTGGCAGTTCAAATCCGCCAGGCACTGCTTGGAAATCCTATGGGACAGTTCTGCTATGTCCTGTAGGGTCACTATGAGTCGGAATCGACTCGACTGCCATGGGTTTGGTGAGTAGTTTGATGTAAGAGTAAGTACATGGAATCTAGTGGCTGAAATTCTGGCTTTGAGTCCTGGTACAACAGCTTGTTTGCTTTATAATGTTATAAGTCATTGTAATATCACTGAGCCTCAGGTTTCTCTTATATGAAATGGGGAAACACTTTATAAACTTTAAAGAACTCTGAAAATATTACTCTTTATGATTGCACAGTAGATTTGATTGGCAAATCAATAGATAGAAATTTGTTTGCTTTTTTCAGGTGCTTTGGGAAAAAGGACACGGTTTCAGGAAAATTACGTGGCACAACTTATTCTAGACGTAAGACGGGAAGGGGATGTCTTTCCAGGTTATGAATTAAGTCCAGCACCCACTCCTCAGGAACATTTAACCAACGTAAGTAGGATCATTAAGTTATTTCATCAACTTAACATCCATCTCTAACAGTTTCAGTAGGTGAGTACTGTAGAAACACTGAATGGAGTGGGAAGAGACTACATTTTGTCCTTTCTTGAGCTTTTTCAAGGTGGCTGGGAGGAAAAATAAAACCAGTTTTTTTTTTTTTTTTTTAAAAAAAAACGCTTAAATAGAGATAACATAGTACTTTTCTTCTAGAATTCAATAAATATACATTAATATAGTCAGTTATATATTACCCTCCTTGAAAAAATACACAAGGAGGACTGAGTAGAGACTAAATTTTCTAGCTCCTACCATATTTGCTGCCTTACTTTTGCCTTTTATCGACAGTTTGGAACATTAAGAGACTTGAAATTTCTTGGGCTTCTTCTAAATTGCCACATTGCCCAAATTCCTTTTTACCAGATTTGTAATCTGTTTTTTGTTACTCTGTTATTCATGGGTTGGTCGCCGCCTTAGAATATTTTTCTTGACCTGGCTAATAAATTCCCTTCTTGTAGCTTGAATTTATGGTTCTTGGACAGTTTATATACTTACAGGTCTCTCTAGCAGCTTCCATAGAGGCTATTAGCATTTATATTCTCTGATCCTATAGACTTCATACCACCATTTTTGGTTGTCTTTTGGTTGGATTTACTGTCCTTGAAGCCCATGTTTTTCTACTCTTTGTTCCAAGGCCTGCAAGCACATTTACCTTGAGTTCATTGGACACTAAAATTCTATTCTGTACTGAGAGTAATGCCAAGGGTAGCGGTTAGGGTGGGTGAGAAGAATGGCAGCAGTCAGTAGTCCCAAGGGAAGGCTTTGATGATCTACTGTAAATCTCCTGGGCTTACTTCAAGTACTCTGTTGTTTCCTTTTGTGATTACTTTAGTGAGGAACAGCTGTTGATTCTAAGGGGAGCATGAAGAGAAATATGTAGAAACTTACGATTCTTAAATCTGTAGTATGCAGCCTATACAGGTGAGGAAGTAGAGCCATAGTGGAATGAGTGTGCTCCTGTTGTCCTGATGCTGGTCAGGGTAACTGGGTTGATATTTGCTTCCATCCTTCAATTCCTTCTTGTATATACTGGGCCCTCTTCCTAAGCTTTAAAAAAATTTTATTGTGGTAAAAATATACATAACAAAACATATACCAATTCAACAATTTCTACATGTACAATTCAGTAACATTGATTATATTCTTCAAGTTGTGCAACCATTCTAGCTATCCTTTTCCATATTGTTCCACCACCATGAACGTAACCTCAATGCCCCCTGTCTTATGCTGGATTCTATAGAGAAGCAAAACCAATGAAGCATGTATATACACACACATATATATATATGTATGTGTATATATATGTGTGTGTGTGTTTGTATATATATAGAGAGAGAAAGAGAGAGATTTGTACCAAGGAAATGGCTCACACAGTTGTAGAGGCTGGAAAGTCCCAAGTCCATGGTTTAAGCTGGAGGCTTCTCCTGACTTACGTAGCTGCAGGAGCTGGCAAACCCAAGATCCAGACCACGGAGGCTGAGGAATCCCAAGATCGGCAGGCAAGCTGCTAGCTGAAGTCTCAAGAACCAGAGGTCAGATGAACAGGAGCCATCTGCAGGATCCAGAGTGAGCAAAAGCCCACAGGCCTTGCCAGAAATTCCATCTATGTTGGTTGCAAGCCACACCTCCAAGGAAACTGGCTTTCAACTGATGGCTGCTCACAGCAAATCTCATCATGGAGATGATCACATTATATCAAATCTGATCATGGAGGTGATCACATCATTATACAACTGCCAAACTACATCCTAACTGCCAGACCGCTGAGAATCATGGCCCAGCCAAGTTGACACACAACCTTAATGATCATACCCCCTAAGCAAAAAACTCCCCTTTCCCCATCCCTCCCACCCCTGGTGACCAATAATAATCTCTGGTTTGTATATATTTGCTTATTTCATATAAGTGAGATCTTATAATATTTGTCCTTTTGTGACTGGCTTATTTAGCTCACCATGATGTTTTCAAGGTTCATCTGTACTGGGGCATGCATCAGGACTTCATTTATCTTTATGGCTGAGTAATACTCTGTTGTGTGTATACTACATTTTGTTTATCCATTCATCTGTTGATGGACATTTAGATTGTTTTCACCTTTTGGCTGTTGTGAAAAGTGCTGCAGTGAACATTGGTGTACATTCTTAAACTTTTTGATGTAACCCAAGCACCTGCCTATGCCGTAGATTGACTGTTGTAAGCCTGATTTTTAAGCTATGACACAGCATCTATAAAAAGAGATTTAATTCTGGAATCTAAGCATTTTATTCAGTAATCCATAGTTTTATTGTTGTTGTTTTTAAATGTGGAGTTTTACTATTGTAAATTCTCTCCTGTGATGATAAATGTGATTGATGATTAATTATGAGGAATGTATAAAAATGATATACAACTTAATACAGAATTTATTTTATCCTTTTGTATTTGAAATAAAATACATTCAGATAACCTTACAATCTTTGTTAATTACTACTAAGAGGTGGGAAGGACAAATTGTGTGGTGTATGTATGGATTAGGTAGAAACATAGCTTTATTCACATGGATGGAAGATAAAATTGCTTACTTAGTTATATATCATATTTCCTTGTGTCAAAAACACTATTCGGTTATAAAATGTACCATCTGTTTAATAACCATTCTTCAGGGGGAAAAAAGAACATTATTATACCAATTATAGTGATTATAAAATATATTGTGTTTAGAAATATTACAATATAAAAATATTTGTCTTATAATTGGGGAACTACAGTAACTTAATGGTCATTGAGAACACAATACTTCCCTTTGGGCCTTTCTAGTTGTTAGACAGATAAAGCTATTGGATATCAGGGTTCAATAAAGCAACAACTATGAACAACTCTAATATGCAAATCAAAGGCCCAGTCTCTGTTCTGTATTGTTCAGTGGAGGGAAGGGAGAGGGTGAGAACACAACAAATTAAAGTTGTGTGTTCGTGGTAAGCAGAAACAATGCATGATCAGCCATCACTGATAATAAATATACATTAAATGTTGAATACTGTATGTCCCACATATTGGTGATAAATGATTCCTTGATTCAGGAGAACGTAAGGAGAATCAAGCAGGACTCTGGTAGAACAATATTTTAAATTTGGAGCTTGTAGAACATTTAGGTAAGTAGGTATTACACGAGACCATTTGTAATTTCAAAAGGAGCTGAATAGGAACACAGAGAATCTTGAATGAACATCAAAACTATTTTGATCTCCTGTTGCTAACAATGACGGGTCTCAGGTCTTCTGAAGCTGAAAGGTTTCCATCACATTGTTACTGTCTGGCCTGAATGAGAGCCTGGGAATGTTACTATAGTCTTAGTTTCCTTGTTTGTTTTTCCTATATCATGCTTTTTTAGCGCATGTATAAAAGCACACTATAAATGTGTTATTAAGTATTAGATATTATTAAGCCAGGTTGATACAACCCTATATGGATATAAAAAGGTGAGATTTTTGGGAGACTGTAGAGCTGCACTGTCCAGTATGGTAGTCACCAGTCACATGTGGTTACTGGGCACTTGAAACGTGGCTAGTCCAAATTGAGATGTGCTGTAAGTGTAAAATACACACCAGATTTGTACAAAAAAAGAAGAAAATGTAGTATATCGATAATTTTTCTATTAATATATGTTAAAATAATTTTTTATGTATTAGGTTAAAAATATTAAAAATAATTTCATCTTATTTTTAAACCTCTTGTAATGTGGCTATTAAAAAAATTTAAATTACATGTGTAGCTCCATTTTTTAAAATTCTGAGGGGCCTATGGTGAAAATGGATGGCCACCAGGGTTTGCTGTAGCTCCTTTGATTGATGAGTAGTATTCGCTTAGTTAGTTCCTTTTTACTGATGAGTAGTATTTCATTGTATGTATGAACCACAATGTGTTTATCCATTTATCTGTTGGTGGACATTTGAGTTATTTTTAGTTTGTTTTTATTATAAATAAAGCTTTTTGGAACATTCATGTCTGAGTCTTTGTGTGAATATATGATTTTAATTCTCTTTGGCAAATACCTAGAAATGGAATGTCTGGATTGTGTGCTAAGTGTGTTTTTAACTTTATGAGAAACTACAAAACTGTATTCCAAAATTGTTGTACTATTTTACATTCCCACCATCAATGTATGACAGTGCTAGTTGCTCTACATCCTTGACAACACTTAGTACTGTCAATCTTTTTAATTTTTGCCACTCTAGGGTGTGTGTAGTAGTGTTATCTTCTTGTGGTTTTGCTGATTGATTTTTAAAAAAATCAACTTTATTGAGGTATAATTTACACACAGAAAAATGAACCCATTTTAATTGTACAGTTTGATGAGATGTATCAAAACACATACACCCAATTGTCGTCATAGTTAAAATATGAAACATTTCCATCACTTCAGAAAGTTGTGTCGTGCCCCTCTGCAGTTAATTCCCCACCCCTTTGGCCCTAAATGGAGCCCTGGTGGCATAGTGGTTAAAAACTCGGCTGCTAACCAAAAAGTTGGTGGTTCGAATCCACCAGCTACTCCTTGGAAACCCTATGGGGCCGTTGTACTCTGTCCTGTAGGGTTGCTATGAGTCAGAATGAACTCACCGCCAATGGGTTTGGTTTTTGGTTTGGGTTTGGGTCCCTAAATAGCCTTTGATCTGCTTTCTGTGGCTACAGATAGTTTGCCTTTTCTAGAATTTCATATGAATGAAATCATATAGCATGTACTCTTTCGTGTCTGGCTTCTTTTGTTCAGCATGATGTTTCTGAGATTTGAAGGCAGTCCCTGACTTAGGACATATTTGAGTTATGACGAACCATACTTATGACCATCAAGATTCTGCTGCTACCTGATAATGCCCCAGGACATCCTCCTCACATAGATGATCTAAATCAAGATGTGAAAGTGGTGTTATCTACCTCCCAGTATAACAGCTGTGATTCAGCCTATGGATCATGGTGCAGTTGTCACTTTCAAGGCATACTACCTACAGATTAGGTTTGCTCAGGCAATAGCTACAACAGATGGAGGTACGGTAACATTACTAGATTTCTGGAAGAATTATAGTGTTCTTCAGTGTATCTAGAACATTGCATCTTCCTGGAAGTTAAGGAAAAATGCATGCAGGGGATTTGGAAAGAATTGCTGAGTTATGTGCACACGCCAAAAACGTTTGGTTAGGATAATGTGACTGGAGAGATCAGTGGAAAAATTGTCCATATGGCAAGAATGCTGAATTTAGAACTTGATATTGCCGATGTGCAACAGGTCATAGATCACGAAGAAGGGGAATTAACAGATCAGGACTTAATGGATTTTCAAGGGGAAAGAAACGTTGAAGAAGAAAGAAATAATGAGGAAGAGGAAGGAGAGAAATTGTCAAAAAATTTTACAGTGAAAAGATTAGCTGAAGTTTTTTCTAAACTAAATCAGAAGTTTCAGTTGCCTGAAACATGGACCCAAACGCTGACCGCTTTGCTAAAGTTAATAGGCAGATTCAAGAAGCAGTGAGATGTTCTGCTAAGTAAGAGAAAAAGGAAAGGGCCATACCGACAGCTCTCACTAATTTTCTGACTAGAAATGCCATCCTCATCCCAGAGATAATCCACATGATCGAGAACCTTCCACAAGTGGGTTTATTACTGCAACTGACAAAATGCCAATGTTGTCCAACTCTTCATTGTTGGAGTACATTTTTATGATTTGTGTATTTGTTTATGGATGTATGTATTGAAATGTATGTAATGTTTCCAATCCCCAAAGACAAAGATCGGATTTATAAAGATACTGATAATAAACGGCAATAATAATGAAAACTAAAAACATAAAAAAGAGGTATTCAACTTACATCAGAACTGACTTATGCCAGAGTTGTTGTAATGGAACCCTGTTTTAAGTCGGGACTACCTGTATCTGTATGATTACATGTTTCAGTAGTTTGTTCCTTTTTATTACTGAATAGAATTCCATTAGATAAATATACCATAATTTGTTTATCTATTCATCTGTTGATGGACATTGGGATTGTTTCCAGTTTTGGGTTATTACATATAAAGTTGTTATGAACATTTATGTACATGTCTTTGTGTGGATGTATGTTTTCATTTTTCTTGGGTAACTACTTAGGAGTAGAATTGATGGATCATATGGTAAATGTTTAGTGTAGGAAACTGCCAAACTATTTTCTGAAGTGGTTATACCATTTTACATTTCCATCAGCAATGTATGAAATTTCCAGTTGCACCATATCCTTGTCAACACTTAGTATTGTCAGTCTTAAGTTTTAGCTATTCTAATATGTGTGTCCTGAGGAACGTTGGTGGTGCAGTGGTTAAAGCACTTGGCTGCTAACTGAAAGGGCAGCAGTTCAAACCACAAGCTGCTCCGTGGGAGAAAGATTTGGCAGTCTGCTTCTGTAAAGATTTACAGCCTTGGAAACCCTGTGGGGGCAGTTTTAGTCTATCCTACAGGGTTGCTATGAATCAGAATTGATTTGATAGCAATGGGTTTCGTTTTTTTGTTGGTAGTAGCTTATTCTAATTTTACTTAGTATTTCGCTGTTGACTACTGTTCTTGAGAATCTTTTCACGTGCTTATTGTCCATTTATATATCTTCTTGTATGAAGTATCTGTTCAAACCCTTTACCTATTTTTAAATTTTTTCTCTTCTTATTATTGAGTTGTAAAAGTTCTCCATATATTCTGAATGTAAGTCCTTTTTCAGATATGTGTACTGTGAATATATTCTCCTAGTCTGTAGCTTGCCTTTTCATTTTCTTAACAGTGTTTCCAACGAACAGAAATTATTAATTTTGACAAAGTCAAATTTGTCAAGTTTTTGTTTGATGGTTCATTTGGTGTGTGTGTGTTCTATTTAAGGAATCTTTACCTACCCCACAGTTGCAAAGATTTTCTCCTGTGATTTATTCTAGAAGTTTTTTTGTTTTAGCTTTTACATTATGGTCTGTGATAAATTTTGATTTAATTTTTATGTATAGATAGTATAAGAGTGGAGGTTCATTTTTTTCCAAGTTAATATCTAATTGTGTCAACATCATTTATTGAAAAGATGTTTTTTACCTGTTGAATCATTTAGGCACTTTTGTAGAAAAATCAGTCAACCATACATGTATGGGTCTAAAATTCTGGCAGCCTCTGAATGGTGCAAATGGTTAACACCTTTGTCTGCTAACTGAAAGGTTGGATGTTTGAGTCCACCCAGAGGCACCTCGGAAGAAAAGCCCAGTAATCTACTTTCAAAAAATCTGCCGTCGAAAGCCCTATGGAGCATAGTTCTGACACATATAGGATCACTGTGAGTCATTGTAGACTCAGGGCAACTGATGGTATAAAATTTTGAACTCTGTTCTCTTATGGTCATTTATATTGCTATTTTCATGCCAATCACACTGTCTTAGCTTCATAGTAATTGTTGAGATCAAGTACTCTGAGTCCTCAGATTTTTTCTACTTTTTCATATTGTTTTGATTATTCTAGACCATATAAATTAAATGAATTAATTTAATATAAATTTTAGGATCAGCTTGTTAACTTGGTATTTCTGCCATTACTAACAAATTACTTGTAACGTATTTCACAATTGATCTGTCTATATTGTCGAGACACAGATTTGGAGAGTTGCTGATTAGTTAATTCTAGATTAGAGGCAGAGTAGAAAGATCTGGCTTTGAATTCTGATGCTGCCACATACTTTCAGTGTGGCCTCAGGTCAACTTCGTCAAGTCTCTGATTCTTAGTTTCCTCATCTATAAATGGGGTAGAAATGCTTATTGCCAGTGATTATTTTAAGGATGAATTGATACAGTGGCTGCAACAATGGGCTCAGGCATAACAACAATTGTGAGGATGGCGCAGGACTGGGCAATATTTCGTTCTGTTGTACGTAGGGTTGCTATGAGTCGGAACTGACTAGACGGTACCTAACAACAACATTGTGAGGATGAATAAGAAAATGTATGCAAAATTCTCAGCAGAGGGGCTTTTTGCATATTAGACTCAGTCAATGATAGTTGTTACTCTCTATTATTGTTATTATAAGTACATTTCTGAAGTACAGATACCACATCCTCCATTTCTACACAGTAAATTGTCCCCTCATATGTGTTTTTATCGGATTACCTTATGTGGACATTGTATCTTAAGCAAAAAGTTAAGTTATTCTTCCCTAGCCATCTATCCATCTATTATTTACTGCTCTGTTGAATGTATCACGTTTAATTTTTGGTCCAAATATTTTCTTTTGTGTTCCATCAGAATTTTGAGCTCAATGATGATACTGTTCTGAATGAGATACAGTTAGCAGACTGTGAACAGTTTCAGATGCCTGACCTATGTGCTGAAGAGCTTGCTGTTATCCTTGGAGTTTGGTAAGTTAATGACTTATTTGGCTATTTTGAACACCTTGCATGTTTGTTTTCTAATGTTTGGAGGAAATCTTTACTCAGCGAGGTCTCAAGAACACTGGATGTATACAGGAATCTTGGAATGCTTTTGAAGAGTGAGGCGGAATAGTTGGGCAGTAATTAAAGGATCAGAGAGTAGAAATCTTCTATGAGTTGGTGTATTCATCTTTCTCTTATAAAATATTAAAGGTAAATGAGAATGACTATTTTGACTTTTGAGGATATATATATTTCAAAGGACAAAATTACTTTTTAATACTATTAAACCTTATGTGTATTGGAAATAGTTTTTCTTTTTGTTTTCTAGTTTGAAACAATTTTAAACTAGAAAAAGTTGCAAGGATGGTGCAAAGAACTTTAGTGAATAAGTTTCTAACATGGTACCCTGTAACCCCTGAATAATTTAGTATTCATTTCCAGCAAATCAGGGTATCTTCATACATAGCCACAATATAGCTATCAAGATCAGAAAATTAGCATTCATGCTTTACTATCATTTAAATCTCAGACCCCATTCAAGTTTCCCGAGTTGTCCCAATAGTCTTCTTTATAGAAAAAGGATCTTGGTCAGAACATTTGTGTTAGGTTTAATTAGCACATCTCATTAGTCTCTGCCAATCTGGAATAGTTCCTCATTTTTGCTTGACTTTCATGATCTTGACACTTACAAGCCAGTTATTTTGAAGACTGTCCCTCAATTTGAGTTTGTCTGATGTTTCCTTAGGATTAGATTTGGTTAAGCATCTTTATGATTTGGTTATACATCTTTAGCAGGGATATCAAGAGAGGTAAAGCTTTATGGTTCTCATTGTGTCCTAGCAGGTGAAGTGCAGTTTTGATTTGTGCACTACTGGTGATGTTTACTTTGATCACTTGATTAAAGTGGTATTTGCTAGATTTTTCCACGATAAAGTTTTTATTCCCCTATGTAATTAGTATTTTGTAGGAAGGTACTTGTAGACTATGTAAATAACCCATTCCCCATCAAATTTTGAATTTATTCATTTACTTATTTATATTAGTAAGGACTAATGAATTCCTGTTTTATTCAGTGGAATATAATCTGTTCTTATCGTTATTTATTTTGATGCTCAAATTGTCCAAGATTAGTTTTGTGGAAGCCCCTTCAAGATATTTTCTGTGTCTTTTTGACATGTTCCATTATTCTTTTAGATGTTGTGGGCTGCCCCAGCACTAGAATCAGCCATTTCCTCCCAGGAGTCTTGACTGATTTTAGTAGAGGAACATATTTAAAACCTAAGATTTAGGCACTGAGTGTGCTCGTTGCTATTGGGAGCCATTGCTTCTAAACCCTTTCAGCCAACAGAGCTAAGAAATGTCTATACATATACACACATATTTGTCTATATTTATTTCTATTTACACACGGTTGCCTACTTTATGCAGTTCTGCTTTTGGACTGAATTGTTCAAGAAGAGAAGAAAGGAAGTGAAAGAATGGTAGAAATATTATTGAGCTGGGATCTTCTGAGTACTACTTTCCAGTACTTTGTTTTTCCTCCCTCCTCTCCTTTATCCACCCTTTCATTCTTCTCCTCTTCTCTGCCCTTCTCTTCTTTCTTTCCCTTTTGGAAAGATGTTTTGACAGAGTAAAACCTGTGCCACTGTTGGCTCAGGGACAGTGAATATTCAGAACCTTGAATAATTAATGCTGATGTTTGTTTTCCTTGTGTTGTAAGACCAGGGCTTCGAAGTGGTTCGGTCATGGCTAATGAAGCAAAATAGGAACAAACCCAAAGTTTTACTATTTGGCAGATTTGGCCCGGTACCCGGAGTGGGAAAAATTACGTGTTGAAGCCTTGGAGTTGGAGACTCGGAAAAGGTGTAGTGAGCCCTCTAAGGAGCCTGATGCATTAGACTGCGTTATTGGCAGGACTGTAGGAGAGTGATTCACCTTCAGAGTGGCATGGTCAGCTGCCATCTTTGAGTGGGGCGCCACCATCTTTCAGCAGAATGATTGAACGTTATCATTAATATCACATACAAATAAAATTTTGCTGAAGATAATTAAAAATGGTTGCATTAGTACATGGACGAGGAACTGCCAGAAATTCAGCCAGATTCAGAAGACGATGTGGAATGAAGGATAACATTGCTGATGTCAGATGGATCCTGGCTGAAAGCAGAGACTACCAGAAAGATATTTACCTGTGTTTTATTGACTATGTAAAGGCATTCAACTGTGTGGATCATAATAAATTACGGATAAAATTGCGAAGAATGGGAATTCCAGAGCACTTAATTGTGTTCATGAGGAACCTGTACATAGACCAAGAGGCATTCGTTCAGATAGAACAAGGTGATACCGTGTGGTTTAAAATCAGGAAAGGTGTGTGTCAGAGTTGTAGCCTCTCATCATACTTACTCAGTCTGTATGCTGAGCAGATAATCTGAGAAGCTGGACTATATGAAGAAGAACACAGCATCAGGATTGGAGGAAGACTCATTAACAACCTGCAGTGTGCAGATTATACAACCTTGGTTGCTGAAAGCGAAGAGGACTAGAAACACTTACTGATGAAGATCAAAGACTACAGCCTTCAGTGTGGATTACACCTCAACATAAAGAAAACAAAAATCCTCATAACTGGACCAATAAGCAACATCATGATAAAAGGAGAAAAGATTGAATTTGTTGAGGATTTCGTTTTACTTGTATCCACAATCATTGCCCATAGCATCAGCAGTTACGAAATCAAATGAGATATTATATTGGGCAAATCTGCTGCAGAAGACCTCTTTAAGGTATTAAAAAGCAAAGATGTCACCTTGAGGAGTAAGGTGTGCCTGACCCAAGCCATGTGATATATTTACTGGCCTCATATGCATGCAAAAACTGGGCAATGAATAAGGAAGACTGAAGAAGAACTGATGTCTTTGAATTACGGTGTTGGCGAAGAATATTGAATATTCCATGGACTGCCAGAAGAATGAACAGGACTGTCTTGGAAGAAGTACAGTCAGAATGCTCTTAGAAGCGAGAATGGTGAGACATCATCTCATATACTTTGGATGTGTTATCAGGAGGGACCAGTCCCTGGAGAAGGACTTCGTGCTTGGGTCAGTGGAAGAGAGGAAGACTCTTAACAAGATGGAGTGACGTAGTGGTTGCAACGATGGGCTCAAGCATAGCAGTGATTATGAGGATGGTGGAGGACTGGGCAGTGTTCCATTCTGTTGTACGTAGGGTCTCTATGAGTTGGAACCGACTTGCTGGCACCTAACAACAGCAGCAACAAAATCTATAAACAAAATAATTTACATTTTTTATGTATTTATGTTTACATCCACTCTTAACTTATCAACATGGTTAGGTTCCAAAGACCAGGTATTTATGTGAAAATAGATGTTATACGAAAATGGAGGATGACCACATCAGATCTCAAAATGGAGGCTGACTATATTACATAACTGTCAAATCACATCATTATGTAACTGCCAAACCACTGAGAATCATGTCCCAGCCAAGGTGACACATAACCATTACAGCTGGCATTACTCTCTCCTTGCACCTTAGCGTTCATTACTGCCAGATGTACATTGTTAATGTGCAAAATAGTTGGGTAGTAGATTTTTTACTATTGTTATAAATGTGAAATGTTGGATAACTAGATAGTTGATAAGTGAGGAGTAGGTGTATACATATATATATTATAAAATGTAATAATATAGCAAACACTAGCGAACCTGCTACCCAATTTTAAGAACTAGAAGATTAGAAATACCATTGATATAATCTGTATGCTTCTTCCTTATCTCATCCTCCAGCCTCTCCTCGGAAAGTAGCCACTACCCTGAATTTTGTGTTTATCATTTTCTTGTCCATAAAAAATATGTTGAAATCTATATATACCTAGTTAATTATATTTTATATACCTACAAATAAATTACTTCATTTTGCTTGTTTTGAGCTTTATAAAAGCTTATTACTGCTTTATTTTTATATACCTCTAAATAAACTGCTTCATTTTGCTTATTTTTGAGCTTTATAAAAGTGGCATCTTACTCTATGCAGTTTTCTGTAATTTGTTTTTGTTTGCATCAATATTTTGTTGCTGTGATTGATTCATGTTGTTACATGTAGCTGAAATTTACTTTGCAATACAGCATTCCTTTTGATGAATATATCGCAACTTATTAAATCTCCTTTTGGACATTTGGATTGTTTCCAGATTTTTGCTGTTATGCACAATATTTCTGTATCTTTTCCCTGGTGCACACATTCAAGAATTCTCCAGCCACTATAACTAGGAGTGGAATTGCTGAGTCAAGGATACGTGAATGTTCACGTTCATGCCAAACTATTTTCCAAAATGATTCTGCCAAATTATTCTTGGATCAGCAGGTTCTAATTCCTGTTCTTCTATCTCTTTGACATCTTAATATTTTCCTGTCTAATAGGTATAATCCTTGTGGTGCAGTGGTTAAGTGTTTGGGCTGCTAACCAAAATGTCGGCAGTTCAAATCCACCAGCAGTTCCTTAGAAACTCTATGTTGCAGTTTTTCTCTGTTCTGTAGGGTCGCAATGAGTTGGAATCGTCTTGATGGCAGTGGGTTTTGGGTTTTAGTAGGCATAGTAATGTTTTGATTTTATGGCATGTGTTTAGTAAATAGGAGTTGGTGCCATACTAATTCTTTTCACTTTCTTTGTGTGGAATGGTAAAGATTGGTTTCTTTTTTTTCACTAGCAATTTAAATTATGTTGCTATTTAGTATACCAACCATATTTTCTTTGTCAGCATTAATTTTTATACTTATCTTTGGCAGACTCATCTATATTTGTATGTAATGTAATAATGTAATAATATTAAAATATGTACTTGCAAATATAACAGATCTCTGATTTTTAAAACTTAGATTTCATTAGTTAAAACACGGATTTTGAATTAATTTACTTTTTTTTTTTTTTAAAGCACAAATTTACAAAAGAACAATCCAGTTCATAAGTTAACTGAAGTGGAGCTGCTGGCGTTTACATCAGTGAGTAATGTCTTTCTTCTTTCAATTCCATTTTTTTCCCTTGTAAGTTATTTTGCCTCTGTTATGTTCTTGCCTCGGATTGCTCATGTTGAAACATTGCCACCTAAGTCAGTTAAGGGAAAAAAAACCTCGTCATTTTAGATTCCAAGCTGTACACATCTTGCTGCTGATTTAAACATAATCATTTTTCTTTGCACTTGCTTCAACTTGAGGGCAGTCACCAAATATTTCTTGTTCATTGTTTTATCCTGGGGCCTAGTCCAGCCAGTATCTAGGTGCTCTGTAAGTGTTTGTTGAATGAATAAATAAAAAGTGACAAAGTCAGAGTTTGAATCTTCAGTTGATAGCCACTATAGTATGCAACCTCATATGCTCAAAACTCAGGGTGATGCCTACAAGAATGTGATAGGGAAATGGACATCAGAAAACTAGGAGCAGAAGCTGGATTGCATGCGTTATAGAGTAGAGGCTGAGGAAGGGGGGGTGTCAGGAGCATGGAGGTGCTTGTCATCATTCAGTGATATAGAGCTGTCAAGAGAAATGTGGACAAAGAAAAAGCTGTTGGATTTGACAATTGGGAGTACATTGCTTAGTTGTAGGACAATTTCAGTGGAATGTCTGGATAGTTAGCAAATTACAGAGAATTAAGGAGAAAATGGGGGTAAGAAAATAAATTTGATAAAGAGCGTATTGGAGAAGAAAGATAGTGAAAAGAAGAAATAGAGTAATAGCTGAGGATATAAGATCAAAGGAGGGTTTTCAAGAAGGGAAAATCACAGAGGATAAGTCACAGGGGTCAGCTGTTATCTTTAGCTTTATGAGTAAAAAGAAGATATACACTTTCTTTAATGAACACAAATTGTTTTAAGATATATCACTTTTCAAAGGCATGTTTGTTATCATGGTTAAGAATCAAGTTAGAATTTTGATGTTTTCTTCCTTTGTTATTTCAAAGGTTAAGGCAAAAGAAAGTACTTTTTTCTGATGGAAAGAAAAGCTAGTTCCTTTGTATTGTAATATAAATTTTGAAAATTACTGTGTTCTGTATACCCTCATGTAACTGGCTACATATTAGCCTCTTGAGCCCTCTGGGCACCTGTTTTATTTTCCACTTCAGTATTCTTAGGGATCTTTGGTGTTTATCATTGTATTATGTATGTTTTAGGTAACGGTGGAAATGTCTGTATTTATTCATTACATATGCCATTAGGAATTTGACAAGTAAATGTGTTAGAAATTTGTAAAAAAGTATTTCAAACAAGTTTAAGAATGGCGTGGGGGCGGTGTCTGACCTCCTCTAATGCCACACGGAGGGAGGAGAATCAAGATCAACAACCCAAGGCCGATTCCTATAAGGTGGAGGTCAGACATACTTCCTCTCTCTGGCCTTTTTACCAATTCTGACACTAGCCGTCCCTCCTACAACACTCTCTACTTCTCTGGTGGGTTCACTAATTCATTGCAGCGGCCACACAGAAGTCACAGACAATACTCAGGATTATGGGGTTTATTAGAGAAGTAACAGGTTACAATTCAGGATCAGAAATGGTTCAGGATACAGTTCTTCAATCAGGAAAACCTCTTCTCAGCTGTGCCTGTGGTCAGACCTCTTTCTGGCCCTCAGCTTCTTGGCCCCTTCTTGGCCCCTTGGGCCTCTTGGGCTGGCCCAGCCTCTGCCCTGCTCATGTATTATAAAGCTCTTTAGCTTTACCAATAAATGCCCAGAGGCACCCCATCCTGCCGGGAACTTCCTGCCAAAAGACACTCAGCTCTCTCGCTCCGTGAGTCGTGGTTTGGAGAGCTTAGCTCTGCCAAGTGCCCGGAGTCACCCCACTCTGCTAGCAGACCTGCCCAAAGGCACTCAGCTTTCTTGCTTTGTGGGCTGGGAAGCCCACTGTGACGTCTCCTGCCAGTCTCCTGGTTCTTTTGCCTCTGCTACTGTTGTTTCTCTGCTGCTACTTCTTGCTATCTCTCGTCATCTCTGGTGTTACGGCTCTTACAGCTCTCTCTGTCTGTCTCCTGGATCTAGGATATTTTCAGCTCAGGGATCCTAGGTACAGAGGATGCGCTCCATTCCTAGGCCTTCTTTCTTGGTGGAGGTGAAGTACCCCGTTTCCACCTCTGGGATGGCTCATTTTAAGCCTAGCGCAATGGCAAAACTGACCAATTCCCTTGTTAGGGTTCCATACACCTTATTTGCATGGTTCCACCTCCACAAGGGTGCCAGGTACCTTATATGCGTTATTAGCAAGCTATCTAATCCCCGTGGTGGGCCACAGCACCATATTTGCATAGTTCCACCCAATCATTTGGTTATAGTTACAAGACTATGGGGAGAAGGTCCATATAAAAGCCATCAATCATACCAAAAGAATATTACAAGTTATTTTATAAAGTATATTATATACCTTCACATTCATTCAGCTAGTATCTATTCAGTAATTATCGTTTATCAAGCATTGTGCCTTTCATTGAGAATACAGCAGTAAACAACACCAGTTTGCATCCGTGCGGGGGAAATATACAGAAGACAGAAGTAGCTTTTTCATAGAAGTGCTAAGGAGAAATACAAAGCAGGATAAGGGAACAAGAATGGATGGGTACAGCTGTTTTAGACAAGGTGGTTGGCGAAGATCTCAGTGGAAGGTGACATTTGAACACAGATCTGAATGAAGTGAGGGCACAGGAGAAGAATCCGGAGTGTCTGGAATGACTAGATGATGAAGGATGACCTCGAAGATTTGGATTTCTTGTGATGACTGAGGGAAACTGCGATGCAAGATATGATAGGAAATAGTCCTGCTGGGAGGAATTATGCGGAGGATGGGGTTAACGTCTTCTTGGGGTTAGTCTCATAAACAGTTATTGTGGCATGTGTATTACCTACGATTACCCTGAAAAGATATTAAAATACTCTATTTGCATTCAAACATTTAATTTTTTTAGAATTTCTTGTGCATGGGATATTTTTCTTTCCTCTCTGCCCTTTTTTCTTTCGTTAACCTCTTCTTGTTCCTCTATACTGTGAGGTACTTCTGAAGCAGTTAACTCTGGTAACTTCTGACGATAATTAACCCATCACTCCTAGCTTGCAATGAAGGTCATAAATTCAAGTTTCATGCCTTCCCCCAAGGGCTTTGTGATATATAATTTTTCTGCTCTTTTACTCTAGCTCTCTTCCAAATCAGAACTGGCCTGAGAACTGATCTCTTTTTGGAGGATAGTAGTTTGATTACAGTGATTGACATTGCCAGGCCCAACTCTTCTAAAGAGATGAGTTTGCTAATCCCAAGTAAATCTTTAACTGGTAAGAAGTATCACTAAGAAACCTGTGAGTGAGGAAGTTTTTTAGGAGCTCCATGCATTTCTCTCCTCCCTCCCCTTTTTAATCCCAAATAAAGCACACAGAATACACCAGAAAAACCCGTATCAGCCTTGTCAACTCTTACCTTCCTTTCACTTATCAGTCTTTCCTCTTATCTCTTTATGCATGAGACTGAAGCTGGTAATAAGATGAATTAGAACTGATCTCTGGTTTTCATTGGTGAAAGAAACTTTATATCCTGTGTCACTCTGATTGAGTACATATTTGAGGCAAGAAGCATCCACCTTTCGGTACTAGTCCACTTCTGAATTGTTCTATAAGAGTTGTCTGCACTTGGCATGGCTCATGTTTTGGCTAATATTATAATTATTTATGTATATATCTTATCTTCCCCAGAGGACTGTAAACTCCCAGTTTTAGGGACTGGATTCTGTTCTGTTCTGGGTCCTGAATAAGGCCTGCTACAGTGCTTCAATGCTTCATTCATAGTGTTGTTAAATAAATGTATTTAGAGAAAAAGAATGAATGAAATATATCAAAGTGTGGAATAGGACTTACTTCTGCCCTGCATCTTGGTGCTGCATTGCTCCCCTTAGTTCCAGAATTTAGGTAGTGCTAGACGGTGGGAAGGATAACCACTTGTCTCATCTTCCTCTTTTGTAAAATTGAAGAGCTAGTGATCTGCCCCACCCCCAGCACCGAAGACTTGTTTTGAGGATCAAACTGCGGAATGTGTATGAAAGTACTTCAGAGTAGGTGGAGGCCAGTGCACCCAGACTTTCAGTGATGAATTGGGCCATCTGGTCACTGGTTTGTAGGAGAGGATTCCTATTTTCCAAGCAGGATACGACCTGTTTGGAATTGACTGTAGATGTGGGAGAGAAGGAAGCAGTGAGGAAAAAAACAGCATGCCCTTTCTTGCAGGGCATTAACTTCCCAACTCTGGCAACAGCATGTTGGCCTGGAACTGGCATAGAATGGGGTGGTGAACTATTGAGGCTATAAGGTGTCTTCTTCTGCAGATAAAAGAGCAAGTATATGTGTAGAAATCTTAATAATCCTTCCAGATTCTAAGCACTTGGAGGGATAGGAACTACAATTAGTGGGCATTCAGTAAATATGTATTGAATAAATGAATGATCCTGAATTTTGTTCAGTTTTAGTTAGCTGTCCTGAGTTTTACTAAAGTGATGGTGAAATATCTCTCTTTTTTGGAAGCATTTTTTTTGCTAATGTTTTCATGTTGGTGCAGCATGTTGAAATACAAGTGAGATATATTGGAAAATGTTTCAATTCAGCAATGTCACAAGCTTGTCCTAATAGGAATACTTTACTTTTTTAAGGTTGTCATTATGTCATGCTGTTCCATTATATCTATATGTTTCAGGAACACTGAGTGATTCATAGTAAAAATAACCCATATTGTTTTAGGGGGCCATTTAGGTTAAATTGGCTTTATAATTTAAAATTAGCTATGTTATCTAAGTTGTTTCTTTTCACATGAGCCAAATTAGTGACATTCACTAATGTTTTTAATTTCCTTTCATTGTTGAAAATGGGAACAGTTTAGTTAATTTATATAGGTGTTTCAGTTTTTATTGGCAAAAGTTTTGCTTAAGTGTGAATTGATACTGGCAGCTTGCCTTCTCAGGGTCTGCTTGAAGCTCCAAAGTGT